GTATTTGCTATATGCTGCAAGAAAGAATTATTGGAATTCAGAAATCACTCATCACTTTAAAACTTTGGATTAATTGCTAAATTCTAATATTATGTGACCACACCAACTCTTTCAACCTTTTATGTCATTTAATTTATTAAGGGACTCTATCTCTTTTCTTTAGGAATACCTGAATGCATTAAGGTGACAAAATATGGGTATACAAAGAATTGGATCATCATTTTGAAAAAAAGTATATATTAATACACAAGATCTATCTAGGAATTTAGCAAATGGAGAAATCAATATGGATTGGAGCTATCAGTCCTGTTTTATAGAGGACATGAGATGTGAAATTTTTTAGGAATCAGAGTTCTTACTCTGTATTGAAATGAAGTGTTGGGGCCAGTGTTCTGGTGTAGTGGGTAAAGTCACTGTGTGCAATGCTGGAATCCCATATTGGCACCAGTTTGTGCCCTGGCTGCTCCACTTCCGATCCAGCCCCTCCTGCTAATGGGCTGCGAAAAGCAGCAGAAGATGGCCCAACTGGTTGGGCACCAGAAACCACATGGGAGATCTGGAAGAAGCTCCTGGCTCCTGGCTTCTGCCTGACTCAGTCCCGGCCATTGCAGGCATCTGTGGAGTATACCAGCAGATGGAAGATCTCTGTCTCTCCCTGTCACTTTCTGTGACTCTGAATTTCAAATAAATAAGTATATAAGTAACTCTTTTAGAAAGTTAAATAAAATGTGTCATGGAGAGACGATGCAAGGTGAGGTATGCTACTGTGCTAAAGTAACCCTGTGTCTATTTAATTGATGAAACAAGGACTTATGGAAGTCATTGAAAAAAATGCAAGAATCTCTGGATCAAAATAGTTATTCAGTATGAGAAAATTTTAATTTTTTGATGGCTTATTTGGTAGGAAATATAGCATGTGATACACATTGCCTCTCTTTTTGCTTAGACTTTGTTTCTTAAAGGTAATGTGGAAAAAATCTGTCTTTCCCATGAATACTTTCTCTGGGTAGTGGTTTCTACTTTCATTTCTGATTTCTTGTTGTTTCTCTCCTGCACAGCGTAAATATTGTCATTTGAACTTACGAGTGGAATGGAGTTAGGGGTCTTGGTTTCTAGCTCTGGTTGGGAGTCTCAGACTTACATTGTGATTTTGGACAAGTCACATTTTTTTTTTTTATGTCTCATTTACTTCATCCGTAAAATAAGATGGTTGGATCAGATAATTTCTCAGCTTTGATTTCTGTCAATATTTTATGATTCATGATTCCAGTCGAGACCACACATTGTCCCTCAGGTCATTTGGCCCATTTTATTAGAAGAATGGAAATAACTACATATTTGGAATTTACCCAGATACCAATACAATTCTGAAACCCAGGAGCATCTTGGATTTGAAATACAATTTTGCCACAAACACAGTTATGTTTACTATGGCTACTCTGCAGCTTGGTGAATCTTAACCACTTCAGAATACCAAGGAATAAGACGCACTGTAATTTGCAATTGGACATCAGTATCTTTGAACATCCATAAAACTTTGGACAGCATGTGTTTCAAAATTAGCTTTCATTGTGTATCACTTTTGACAAGAAAGATGATCCTCCCGGAATGATAAAAGCACACTGCTTTCTGTGGGCTGTATTCACCCAGAGTCCAGAATCTGATCACTGTGTTTATCACAGGTCCTTCAGATGCCCTGCATATGTAAGCCTCTCCCGTGTTTACATTTCTCATGCTGCTGAAGATAATGTGCTGGACCCTGTTCTTCTGTATTCTTGGGGGAACACAGGGAGCTCATAGTTTGTGATTAGTGAGTAAAGACAGACGAAGCATGCGGCTGCTGCTTGAGCTGTCTCTGTTGCCCACCCATTGTCTCTGTCTATTAGACTTGCACTTTGAAGGACATTTGCCAGACGCAGGCTCTCTGCACCCCCTGTTATTTGTGTCTTTTCTCACCTTCAGCATGGTCTGAGCTGATGTTTTCATTTGTTAAAAACAACAAGAACTTCACTGGGAAACTTTTGCTGGAATCTTTTCAGGTCATCATAGCTATTTATTCCCTGTCATAAAGTATAATTCTCCATTTCCCCTACTCCCACGTCAGGGGAGTTAGTGGTTTACGGTGGACAGGCAGTGGAATTTGAGTGAACAGTGGAAGATTTCAAAGAACTACTGAGAGATTATGTAGCAGGTTGTAGTACTAAGAACAAAACATAAAATACTCTTGGTCTGGATCAGACTTTGGCAGTACAAGAAGAACTAGGCTTGTAAAATAGTATAAGGGATTTAGAATTTGTGGCTGTACCTGAGAAAGTGTTTTGAGGGAAGATAACAAATCATGGGATTGGCTTAGTAAGGAAATTCCTTAAATGGTTAAAAGTAATAGCCTTGAGTATGTCCAGTTGGTTTCAGTTTGGCAAAGTTTGGATTTTTCTTTTGTAGATTTTGATTTAGCAGGGGCATGAAATTCAGGTTCTGGTGCTGTCACACAGGTCTGCATGACCCAGAGAGACCTGAAAGGCCAGACACATGCAGAGGTCTTTCAAAAGTTTGTAGGAAAATGGGGTGAAAAGAGATCATTTTCCATGAATTTTTGAAGCTATTTTGTAGAACTGTAGACAGAAGTCCTAGGAGAAATAAGAGGAAGACTTCTAAACATTTAAATGGAGGGAGGATGTAGACGGAAGATGGTTGCTACAAAGCATTTGGTCCTAGGTGTTTTAAATCTAGTGTTGATATTATTGTAAACTACTTTTTTGAAATAGCTGAATAGTGGTGTAATCAGTGATGTTGGGTGAAGTATTCAAGGCCTTGATAGATCTCAGAAATTATGACTGAATTGGTCTCATTCTCAACAAGCAACTGATCTAGCATTCTTACTGAGCATGTCACAAAAATGCCATCAAAGCAGGGCTCCTCACTGATGCACTGCAAATGTGATAAACCAAAGAGGTGATTGACTGAGCAACATGAGCAGAGAGGATGGGTGTGAGCATTTTCTTGGCTGGAGGAATCTGGTTGAGATCAGCTAATTTTTTTTCTACAGAAAATTTTCTAAGGACAAGAGAAGTTTCATGTTTACTCTGAAAACAAACTCAACAAACCCTTACTATATCTAGGTGTTTTAATTATTGAGAGGAAACGCACAGTCTCCATTCTAAGCTTCAAGGACATTCCTGGTAAGGTCACATTGACAACAAAGAAAGGGTCTCTGGGCTAAAATACTTAGAGTCTTTGATTATCATTGGGATATCTGGGTTAGGAGCTCCTAGATTTGAACTATACTTTCTATCCTCACACAAACACCCTCAATTTATTATGGGAATAATATTGTAGGAAAGGTGGGTGTCATTATTCTTAGGATATAATAATTTGTGCTAGTAGTTTTGTTGAGTGTGCTGTGTGTTTATAAACAGAGATGATCAAGAGACTCTCGTGTTAGGAAGAAGGCTGAGAGCTACTTTCTGTTGAATGTGGCCCATACAGTCATCTTCCCTACCCTCACTCCAACTCCTCATAATTTTCTTTGGGTTGATTCTTTTTGGGGAGAAACTATTGGAAGTAGAAGTCCAGTTCCTTATCCTAGCGTGAGACTTGGCAAGTTGGTGCTGTAAATTTCTGAGAGCTACACAGACTGCTTTAGACTCAGGCTGATGGTTTGGTGGTGATGTTAGGATAGTTGATATTCTGCTAAGTTTCACATGTCCATCACTGTTGCCTGGGGCTGGGGGAAGGTGGTAGGACAGGAGCATACAACTCTCTGACAGCTTTGGCAAGCTGGATGATTAAGATGTCAGGACATCTTTGGGGGTAACTCAGAGAAAATCAAGGAGGATTCCTAACAGATGAAACCTTGGTGCTGTGATTCTTCCACAGTTCCTAAGACCTCAGGGCCCTAGACTCAACTGTGGGTGACACTATTTAAAGGTTCATTTGGTGCTGTTGCCCTTCCTTCAGTCCTCATAGGTTGACCCCTAAGCTAATGTGAGTTTGGGTTGATGGTGGTACAACACAAGCTGTAGTCTAGTCTGGGACCCATGCAGCTTGCCCTAGCGATGGCACAGAGACTTTGGTGAATGCTACAAGAAGGTGACTGCATGGTGGGGCTGGCACTGTGGCACAGTGGGTTAATGCCCTGGCCTGAAGCACAGGCATCCCCTATAGGTACTGGTTCAAGACCCTGCTGCTCCACTTCCCATCTGGCTCTCTGCTATGGCCTGGGAAAGCAGTAGAAGATGGCTCAAGTCCTTGGACTCCTGTACCTGTGTGGGAGACCTGGAAGAAGTTCCTGGCTTCTGGCTTTGGATCGGTGCAGCTCTGGCTGTTGCAGCTAATTGGGGAGTGAACCAGCGGATCGAAGTCCTCTCTCTCTCTCTCTCTCTGCCTCTCCTCTCTCTGTGTAACTCTGACTTTTGAATAAATAAATAAATCTTAAAAAAAAGAAAGTGAATGCATGGTAAAACCAAAATCCCCTCTAATTTGCTTTGAATATATTTGCTGCTTTATTACTTTACATTCATATTTATGTGTCTATGTTGGGAAGACAGAAGTAGGAGGTTTCTGGTCTGCTTGATTATGAAAATACATGAATGAACATCACTGAAACCAATAAGTTATGAAACAATCTACTCTTCTTCCATCTTTAGAGAAGAGGGTCCATGAGCAGGAGTGAAATTTTCCTTTGGCCCTCTTTGACAAAATAGACTTCAAGGAACATGCAAATAATGTTTATCTGACAGTTCAAATCTGACCCCAGATGCAGAAGCAATAATCAAGTGCCAGAAATGCTGGGGGGACAACACATGGAGTTTTTGGCATATAAACTCATAAGCACCAATGTCCTTGTTTGCAAATGGAAAGTGGCAAAGTTGCATTTGTCTACAATAGTTTAATAGGGATGTGAGTAAGTGAAGCAATATCTCACTGTAGATATACCATAAAATGTGTTAACTGGAACCTCTAAAGTGAGGTTGGATCCTTATCAATTTCTTCTATTCCAGATGATCAGCTGAACTCAGAGGAAAAGAAGAAGAGAAAGCAGCGGAGGAACAGGACAACTTTCAACAGCAGCCAGCTGCAGGCTTTGGAGCGTGTCTTTGAGCGGACACACTACCCTGATGCTTTTGTGCGAGAAGACCTTGCCCGCAGGGTGAACCTCACCGAGGCCAGAGTGCAGGTAACTCAGATTGTGGGAGGTTGGCATCAAGTGTTCCCCTCCTTAGAGGAATGTCTCAGAAGGCTATTTAAAAAAACACCAATTGTAGGTTTTAGACTACAGCTGGTACTAGTAAGGGTTACAAAGAGGCAGCCCAAGGACAGAATCCACTTTCTAGCAGTGTTTCCTTGTGCAGCATAATATTTTTAAAACTCAACTTGAATGACTTTAGATAGGACAAAATATTCCTGACTACCGTTCATCTCATTCACATTGTTTCTGACTCTTCCAGATTCATATTATAGGCATTGTCCATCTGAGCATTTACATCTGCACTGCCACCTTCAACTTGAACTCTGGGGTGGCCAAGCAGATTAGCTCCCTTTTTCTCACCTTGGATTTCCTTTCTAGCATTTGGAAGTGTATAAACCTTTGAGAAACTTGTTGTAAGTACACATTATCACGAACACTTGTGGGAGTAGGAAATGGATACATAGGAACTGAATATGTTTAAATAGTAGATGATTTTATTTATCCTCACAATGTTGGTTAACAAGGGCTAGGGCACATTAGGACAGGACAAAGAGAGAATAATGATCCTTGCTAATATTAATGCCATGACATGTCAACTAAACACTAGATTTCTGGAAAATAATACAAACCTTGATTAGTAGTAGTAATAATAATATAAATCACTAATGCTACTTGAGCCCTATGTGCCAAGTAATGTTATTTAGATAATCAATCCATTTAATCCTCACATCAGTCCAATGGTATGCATTGTGTTCTTCATCTTGCAAATGAGGAAACTGAGGCACAGAGAAATTCAAGTGTTTTGTGCAATGTCACACAAACAGGAAGTACTGAAAGAGTATTTGAACAAAAATACACAGATCTAGAGTTCATGCTTTTAATCTCTACAGTAGACTTTGTAAAAACAAGAGTCTCATAACTAAATTCTTCTTTAAACAGTGCTTTGCTATCTCTGTTGAAAGATTTTATTGTTTTCCATATTGCCTGTTAACAAGCTGCTGTTCTGATAAGGAGGTTGAGTCAAATTTGTTTTGTCTTCCTGAAGAAATTATTATTTATATACCCATGCTCTGTCTGAGTTGGCGGGGTTTCCTTCTGCAAGTGATAACCCTCTACCTGATAGAAACTGGAGCTAGACCCCAAGGGTCTTGACTAGGGTAGGGACCCTATCTGTGCCCTGAAACAGTTTACTGATGTTGGGAGTTGAAGCAGAGGTCCTGAAGTTCTCTTCAGCCTCAAGAGGAGGTGGGAAGGAGTTTTCCCTGTGGGAGGAACAGAGACTTCCCCCAAAAGTGTTCTCCAAGAGACAAAAATAAAACCCTCAATGACAAAAGAAAGAAGTCGTCTGGGCCTCGTGGGACTGCTGAGTCTAGGTTAGGAGGAATACGAGCAAGGGCAGTTCCCCAGGGCTCAGTGGAGAGTGCTCCATGGGGTAAAACTCAGTTCTGGTTTCTCCACCCTGCACTGAATGCAGAACTGGGAAGTCTGTCTTCCCACACCCTCCTCCCCGGTGGTGCTCTTCACAGCTCTCTAACCACACTCTGCCATCCCTTTTAAACTCCCCATGTCTCTTATGCCCCGATCTCAACTTGCAGTGGCGTAATGCATGATTTTAACCCAGTAAGCTACAGCACTTTAAGGAACCACATTTGCTGTGGTTATATAAATTTTAAATAAGGAAAACTGAATAGGACAGTGGTGAAAATTGAAAGTTAAATGCCAAAAGGCCGTTTATGGGTTGGGAGACTATCACAACAGGCATATGCCTTCTTCCTCCTTTCCCATGCCATCATGGTCTAGCAACTTTCAGAAAAGTGAACATTTCACCAGCAAACAGGTGAGATTCTCCCTCCATGACTTTGTTCTTTCTTCACAAAGCCTTATTCTTCCCCAAGAACAGATTCCCTTCTGGGCTTTTTCATACTTATGGCTTTCGTGTAGCATGCTATGCAAGTTGCAGATGAACCAACTCCCCCCGCTGGATGGAGGCTACATTTTATTAACCTCTTCAAAATTAATTTTTACTCCTCCAACATTTATCAATCACCTTTTGTACTCCTGGGCATGTATTTTGTTTGTGGGGGGATAAAAAGGATGCTTGCCATCTCCCTGAGGATGTTATGGACTTGGGTAGAGAAGACAGTTGTGCAAACCATACTGTTATAATATTGGAAGATGATTTGTACATTGGAAGAATGTATGAGAATTTGTGACAGAGTGTAGGAAGCATGATCCAAACTGCCTGGGGAAAACAAGGGAGGATACACATTTATTAAGCACCCACTGTGGACCAAATCTTTTAACTATTTGGGAGATGGGTATTATTATCTCTAATTGACTGAGGGATGAAGGAGCAGATCAATAAGTGAAGTAGCCAGTATTTTTATCCAACTCTGTTATACCTTTAAGTCAATCATGTTCTGCACAGAGGTGATGTTAGAGTTGAATCTTAAAGTGTATATGGTCTTTGGCCCTTGGAGAGAGAAGGGGAGAGTGTCATGGGCAAAAGGAACTCCTGGTGTGAATATACACAGGAAATAGCTTGACACATTTGGGAGTCTTCAGGTAGTCTTGAGCCTAGGTTAGGAGATGGAATGATAGAGGGCCAGTGCACGGGGTTGGAGCTAATTCCTGAACAGTGTTCTCTCTGTGGTAAGAAATTTTGGTTTTATTCTCTGAGGAATGAGGAAACCTCAGAAGGTAAGTCAGGGCACTGATGCGACTATATCCACATTTAAAAATTTATTTATTTGGAAGTCAGAGTTACAAACAGAGAGAAGGAGAGGCAGAGAGAGAGCGAGAGAGCGAGAGAGCGAGAGAGAAGTCTTCCATCTGCTGGTTCACTCCCCAGTTGGCCGCAATGGCCAGAGTGAGCCCATCTGAAGTCTGGAGCCAGGAGCGTCTTCCGGGTCTCCCACGTGAGTGCAGGGGCCCAAGGACTTGGGCCATCTTCTACTGCTTTCCCGGTCCATAGCAGAGAGCTGGATGGGAAGTGGAGCAGCCGGGACTTGAACTAGTGCCCATATGGGATGCCAGCATTGCAGGCAGTGGCCTTACCATCTCCACCACAGCACCAGCTCCGATTATATCCACATTTAAAATGACAACTCCAACAGCAATGTGGAGGGCACATTGGAAACTGAAGAGCTCTGTGTATAAGAAACCAGGGAAGAACTTTGCCAATTTCCACCAGGCCCTTTATGCTGCACCACCCCACAGGGCACCCATCATGTGCTGCTTCATGTGAATGCTGCTTCCTAGGTCCCTGCAGGCATCTCTACTATAGAATTCTCCCACACTTTGTCATACATTTTCCTAGTTGCAGCTAAAATACTTGTTTTGCATTTTTTCAGATGTGTGTGTCTTCCTTTAGTAGATCGTGTGCTGCTTAAAAGCAGAGATTCAATCTTTCTGACCTCTCTCTTGCCAGCTTTTAGTTTTGGGCCTGGACTACAGCAGGCACTTTGTAAAGCTTTTTTTGAATGAGTAAATAAATGGATATAATTCCTCCACAGACTGGAAGAGTTGATCATGAGTTGGTGTCCTTAAGTTCAAAACCTCAGCTTTATTTGTGTGCACATCAGCAGATTAACCAATCTCATTGAAACTGTCCCCTCAACTCTGAAATAGAAGTAATAAAATCTTCTATGTGGCATTGTTGTGATAACTAGAAGTCGTGTATGTGGTGTGCCTGTGTCAGTTTATGTCCCTTGTGGCATTTAATAATGACAGATATAGTAATACTGGCAGTAGTAGATACTGTCAGTGCTGTCCGATTCCCTGGTACATACAGCATGCAGCTCAGTCAGCTTCCAGCCTTTAGGATCTGCATTGCTCTGCTAGAAGTTTCTTTCTATAACTCCAAGAGATGGCCCTGCTTGTGTTTAGCATTTCCAGAAGTGTTGGAGTGTTAATACCCATGATTGGGAGAGGCCAGGGTACAACTACCCAGCACTCTCACCCTGAGGAGAGAAGACTCAGAATCATATATACTGCATCAGTCTTAGTGTTTGTAGTTCCTGCAGGATTGAGCCAACAGAGAGGCAACTGTTTCATAGCATACACTTTAGCAGTTGCATTTTCTTCTAAATTATTTCCTTAACCCTTACTGGTGTTTCTTGCATTTCCCAAATAAAACAGTTTCTTTTTAAATCTTATTGGATGGTCTACTTTTGGGGAAATGCAGAATTTTATTTAGATATCTGCTCAGTGTTATAAAAGCACATGAAGTGTTCATGTTTTGAAGAATTTTGAAAGAGCTTTTAGAAGTCATTGTATCTGTGGTGGAAGTCTGATGAGATTTCTTTTTTCATGATTACAATTACAGGAGGGCTTATAACCTGTATTTTGCTGTCCCATGGTTTACTCACAGATGCCATCTTAAGGTCTTGATTGCTGGAAGTATTTCATGGTGCAATTATAATAGTTTAACTCTTCTAGCTCTAGAGCATGACCCACGGAGGAAGCAATATGGTGTTTCTACTTTCTAGGAAGAATTCCAAACCATTTTATATCTTCCATGGAAAGACATTAAATAGTAAAAAACAACCAGAATCACATTTATGTAACCACTTCTTTTTTTCTTCTCCTTCCTCGTGCCCTTATCTCCTCCCAATGATCTTCCAGGTGTGGTTTCAGAACCGAAGAGCCAAGTTCCGCAGGAATGAGAGAGCCATGCTGGCCAATAAAAATGCTTCCCTCCTCAAATCCTACTCAGGAGATGTGACTGCTGTGGAGCAGCCCATCGTACCTCGTCCTGCTCCAAGGCCCACCGACTATCTCTCCTGGGGGACAGCTTCTCCGTACAGGTGAATGACTGGCCCACTCTCCCTTGCTCCACTTCCACATGTTTCTCAGCGGTCAGTCTTGTTCAAAGCTGTTTGTGCAGCTGGCTGACATTTCTTACTGGGTTGACCTCTTCAGAGACATTCAACTTGCTGACATCCCCAATTTTTCACAGCAGATTACTAGTTGCCCCAGGAGCAGGGTTTGGGGCAGAAGAGAGAGGGGCAGGCCATCAGCAATCTCCTCTCGGACTCAGGAACTCTTGCAAAGGTTTCAAAGATGGGGAAGAATCTAAAAGAAAAGATCATTAAGCTATACCCAGTGTCCCTCTTGCAACCTTTCTGGAACAAAACTTTATTCCACTTCCAAATTTAAGATAGATTTGTTTTATTATGTTCATGTAGGGATACTTGTAAGGCTCCAAGTATAGTGCCGAAAGCAGTTCACAGTAAAAATGATTTCAGGTGAAAAGAAAAGAAGGATGGAAACATGGAAAGGAGGAAGGGAAGGAGGGAGAGAGACAGAGAGAAAAAAAGAAGTAATTCGCAAGTTCATTCTGGCTGCTTTCATGGCCACAGCTCTTTGCCCGTAGCTTGGGATTTCTTGATTCCAAATGTCTTCTTTTTCTATTGTGAATTCTTTTCTTCTTGATGAAAGTTTTCTTTGGAGATCATTGTGTATGTGTGTGTATGTGTGTGTGTGCATATGTGCACGCTCATGCATGTACATGTGCTCATGTATGCATGTGTGTGGGGGCGTGTTTCTTTTAAATAAAATCAGAATGTATAAAACACACCGAACTTTTATATTAACAAGGTGAAAAGGTTGGAACAAAGTTAACAGAGTACTACTTCAATCTCACAGAGAGGCTTTTAACCTCTGTTTATTATGCTGTCCAGAAAATATAGGTTAAGATTAGAAAGGAAGCAGAGAAACAAGTGCCTGATACATTGTGATCAGTCTAGAGTGCCTTTCTTTGAACTTGAACCTGAGCACTCTTAGAAACCATGCCAGAGCTATATGTTCTCTCTGGCTGATTTTTGTATTCACAAATGCATTCATTATGCTTTGGTTGACCTTTTCACTGTTTAGATTAACTAAGGAGAGGTTTGTAACTAGTTATAGGTGACTGTGTCTCAACCAAAGCTGAATTCCTGATGGGAAATGGCACATTTGTGAAATGCAAATACTTCTCAAAGGTTGATAGTATATCTAATGTTCTTTCTGTTCCAAATCATTTCTTTGAGACAAACTCTAAAAATGCCTTTGGGGATTTTTTTTTTTTTATTCCCTAGGGTGGAATTAACTTGAATTTCTTTTGTCTTAGTACACAGAGACACCATGTATAGGAAAATCCTATTCTGGGCTTCCATTCATCTTAGATATGGTATCTTACTGATTTTGAAAGATCAGATAGATCTGTGCATTGTGTTTAAAATTTAAACTCCTCTCCCATTAAGACTTACTAAAGCCATATTTTGAAGAACATTGTTAAGTCACATATTCTTTGATAGTTTAAATAGCTGGGAGGTTGCTTTGTTTCTTTTATAAATTTTGGTCATCCATACAGTCAGCAAAGGGCTTGCGAAATAGATGAGTAGCTCAAAGCCTCATGTTTTAAGATGTCTGGTTGGAGTTTTATCATGACCAGGAAATAGTGCTCCTTTTTCTACATGGGTCCTTGTTAGGAAATTTTCACACTAGCTATAAAGAGTCCAGATGGCTGCCATGTGGTCTTTACCAGTGAGAGACTGAGCAGAGCACACTGCTTGAATGGAAATGAAATTCTTCCCAAGTTAATCAGGTTATCAGGTTAGATTACCTGAACCTCAGCTTAAGCCTCAGTGTCTACATCATGTATTTTGTATATGGACATCTAACTGAAGCTAGCAATTTAAGTGTGCCTTTTTTGGGAAGTACTCTATTTTAATGGAAAAAGAATATATAGGAATACTAGATGCATTTTCAAAAACACCCATAATTCTATCATCTTGTTATAACTAGTTTGTTTACTTTTGTGGTTAGAGTTCAATATTTTACATAAGTGTAGTTTTAGTGTACATATTGTTTTGTATTCTGCTCTTTTCACTTAAAATCATATAACCTAGTACCTTTGACTCATTTCATGGTATGCTTTTTATATCATTGCTCTCTTAGATACAGAGATTGTAAAAACTAATTAAAACACTATCTTAGACTCTGATTGTTCATATTCTGTATGAAGAATAAATTAATCTCCAAATATAAGCAGAAATATGATGGTCTAACGCAATAATTTAATCAAAAATATTTTTGGACTTAGTGTTGACTGAAGTGTTTATATTTTGGTTAATTTCTAAAAGTGATAAAAAGTGATACTGTTACTTGGAGACTTTTCTGCTATGTTTAGGATCAAAATACATCATGATTTTTGGTAGGAAATATAAATATCGTTAAGGAAATGTAAGAGAAAACAAATCATGAAAAGCAAGGAGACAATAGACCTTTGTACTATGGAAACCCACTCACTATTCGTGTTGTACTGTTGTGTGAAGTTAGTTATTTCACATGTGACATTCATTAAAAGGCATTTGTCTTGGTTAATCCTCGGATCACTCTTGTGTGATAGCTCTGCCCCGTTCCAGTTCCAAAGAAGAGGACACTGATCACTTGCCCAAGTTTAAGGCTTCAGGAGGCAGAGTTAGACCTTGTGTTTGTGATCCTTGCTTCTCTCCAACATGTTAGGACACATGATTGTATATTTTTATTAAAAGCAAACATTGCATTGTAATGGAAGTAGAAAAAGTGTAAGACTTGAAAAGGATCTGAGGCTCTCTTTGTGACTGAAGGTCTGTCTCAGATCAATGGTGTGTGCCTCAGCTGAGGTCCAAAATTTAGGGTGTCCGGGCATCCCATTTGGGTGACCCATACTTGGGTAGTTGAAGGACAGTGAGCAGAGGGCAGTCTGCTGACTTCACAGCTCTCTCTTGAAAGGAGAAAGGGGGACGCTTGGGCTCAAAAGCAGTTATTTGCATATGGTTAGAATTATGGGTGGGACAGAGCCCATACATTTTTTCTGGATGTCTTTATATCCAGAGTTGTGACTGTACTATTTATATCTATACTGGGACATTTTTGAAAGTGAAAGGGAAGTGATATTAATTATTATGCTAGTATAACAGGTATAAACCAAGATTGTCCCTAGCAAACTGGATCATGTGGTTCACTGTAATTATAGCACATTGTGGCCTCCTTCATTCCCTCCTTGACCATGTTAGAGATGATGATGTTAGGTAGGCAACTGACTCACCAGAGGGAGCAAAGCATTCCCTAACATGGACACTACTTCCTTCTTTTAAAAAATATTTACATTTATTTGAAAGGTAGAATGACAGAAAGGAAGAAAGAGAGAGAGAGATAAATAAAGAGGTCTTCCATTTGCTGGTGCATTCCCCAAATGCCTGCAACAGCTGAGTCTGGACCAGATCAGTCAGGAGTCAGGAACTCCACTGGGTCTCCCACATAAGTGGAAGGAACCCAAGTATATTGGCCATCATTTGCTGCCTCCCAGGAACATTAACAGGAAGCTGAATCAGAAGCAGAGGCAGGACTTGACCCAGGCATCCCAATATAGGATGCAAGCTCCCTAAGCAGCATCTGAACTCACTGGGCCACAATGCCCACCTCTACAGGTGTCTTTTTTATCTTCCTTTGTCCTGTTGAAGGAAGCTTGTTTTGGACACAAACCCACAGGTTAGCACAGAACTATTTTCCTGGGGCAAACTGTGAATCACTAATCTTGTAATGTTTTGCCTCTTGGGTAGCACTTATCAAGTGTTGCATTGTTGATTGTTCTTGGACATGAAGTAGCCAAGAAATCTTTCTCAGAATCCCCTTTTCCTATGAGAGGCAGATAGCAAATGGCCTGGCTCTGCAGTGTTGGTCTGGAGTGCCACTTTCAGAGGGAGGGCTGGACTTCAAAGAAAGCTAGTGGCAAGAGAAAGAGAGACCACCATCCTTGTCTGCATCGCCCCTCCCCCAACCTCCTCCTCCCCACCTCATTTGATCGCGGTCATGGTGCTGCCTGACTTCTGCTGAACGCATTTGGCTCATTTCTCCCTTTCACGCTTTCAAAAATAGATCCTCGTCCCTCCCAAGATGTTGTTTACACGAGGGGCTTCATAACGGATTCTAACGGAAGACACTGAAAAGGTAAACTTGTCAGAGGGAAAAGGGTGGCTGCTGGGGGTAGGGTTTAAGTGGGAATTAAGTGTGTTTAAGAAAGTGGGGGTTGCAGTTCTAGAAATGTAAGCAGTGAGGTCCTTGAGTGGGGAATCCTACTGGAAACCAGAGCTGCAAGAAAGTGTGTCCATAAAATTAGGGGCAGTGTGTTACGCTGGAGTGGGACTCATCCAAGATTGTTGCATATGGGAGTCGCTTGCAGTTGTTGTCACCCAGCAGATTCCGATTCACTAGGCCTAGGGTGGGCTGGGATTCTGCATCTAACTTGCTCCCTGATAATACTGATGCTGTCGATGTTCGGCAGCAGTGTACACTTTGAGTAGTGAGGTTTTAGATGACTGTAGGATATGGGATAGGTCAGAGGAAACTCTGTTCTTGTCCTGTGTCCTGATGGTCTTCAGACCAGTGGGATCATTGAGCAAGCAGTAGCTTGCAGATGTGTCACAGGGATCTTCGGAAGGAAAGCAATATGTATTTAAAAAATTCTTTCAACAACGGGAAGGATGCAAGAGGTTTTATATTTAAGAATATTTCTAGAGAGTAAAGCTAAACATTGCAGAGAATTGCTGAACATGTAATGCAAACTGAAGGTTTACTGGTAGTATGTGGTCCAGGTGTGTCCACAGTAAGAACTCGATATACTTTAAAAGCCATGATCTGAATTTCAAAAACAGAAGTTATATATGATTGTTTAAATCACACAAGATCACTTCCAAAGAACTTATGGAACCCCACTTTAAAAGCAAATTCTTCTAGGAAAAATGTTTTTGAATTCCCTTAGATGAAGCAAGTATACCTCTAT